TTACTACTCTGGTGTTTGTGACGAGGGGCCTATTAGATTTGTGACGAGGGGCCTATTAGATTTGTGACGAGGGGCCTATTAGATCGAAAAGAGGGTTATTAACAGGGCTTACTATATTAGATCAAAAAGAGGGTTATCAACAGGGCTTACTACTCAAGTGGGGTCTACTAGATCGAGAAGTGGGTTATCAACAGGGCTTACTACTCAGGTGTTTGTGAAGACGGGCCTACTAGATCGAAAAGAGGGTTATCAACAAGGCTTAATACTCAAAAGGTGTCTGTGAAGAAGGGCCTATTAGATCGGAAAGAGGGCTATCAGCAGGGCTTATTGCTCAGAAGGTATTTATGAAGAGGGGTCTTTTAGTTCGGAAAGAGAGATATCAACAGGGTTTACTACTCAGGTGTAAGTGAAGAGGGGCCTATTAGATCGGAAAGAGGGTTATCAGCAGGGCTTATTACTCGGAAGGCGTTTGTGACGAGGGGCCTTTTGGATCGGAAAGAGGGTTACTCACATCCCTTCCAGCTAACAAGTGTGTAGAGATTCATATCCCACACCACTCTGAATATGAACTAAAGGCATACAGCTGACTCTGCATAGCTGCATACATTCATAGCCTTATGTATAATACTTATACAGAAAGCTATGATACGATATACCTCGTAGACCTGAATATATATCACATGCCTGTCTGTACAGCCGAGCCATGTGCCACTCTTCGTCATAGCCATTGCCGCCAAAGCACTCCATCGCCTCATAGACGGTCCTGTTTGTGCAGTATCAGGTGCGGTATCAGGTGAATGCACCGGTACATCTGAGGACATGTGTGGCTACAATCACCTGTGTACCTACACAGATGCTCATATAGGTTTAGTGGCATAAATAACAACGTGTAAAAGCCTTTTAACAGTGTGTGACGATATTTTGCCCGCAGGTGATTAGAGTGATTCTAGAACAATGTAGAGGATCTAAAGGAGTATCACTGAGAGTGTGGCTTCTTGTACTGACAAACTTATCACGTTCATATATATATATATATACTACATTTCAGTAATGAATGCACTTACTTTGGAGCGGCCTTACACACGAAGTACTTTGAGATGGCCACGGCGATACGCATGAAGTGGAGCTGTTCTCTATCTCCCTGAAGTGAATGAAAAAGACAAGTCCATGGTAGGTAATAACTTTATGGTAGTATCCGATCAGGTGGCAGGAATCGTGCGGGTGTGCTATAACACGCAAGGTTTCCTAAGTGGTGTTTGGGGATTAGGGTTTTAGGGTTTTAGGGTGTTAAGAAGTACACATTTGATACATGCACACTCTATGTGTCAGTGCATGTGCTTGTGCGCTTACTGAGAAGCGTGTACGAGTTCGCACGCACATGTATACGGCCGCCATGCACACTCAAATCGCAGGTCATGTATGGTTGTGAACTTGACCAGTAACCATGGCAACAGTGGTGTGATGCTTGGCGGAATTCTCAACTCTGAACCCCTTGCACTTGTTTCTCAAGCAGATATATAGGTAGCATTTGGGTGCACACACACACACACTTATATACACACACACACACACACACATA